GAGGGAGGGACAGAGATAGAGGAGAGAGAGAGGGAGAGAGAAAAAGAAGGAGAGAGAGGGAAAGAGTGAGTGAGATAAAGAAAAGGAGAGAGGGAAAGGGAGGAGCGGTGAAGGAGGGAGGGAGGACAGAGATAGAGGGGAGAAGGAGAAGAGAGAGAGAGGGAGGATGGGGAGGAGAGAGGGAGTGAGAGAGGGAGAGAAAGAGAGGGAGAGAGGAAGGGAAAGAGAGAGAAAGAGAGGAAGGATGGAGAGAGAAAGAGTGGGGGAGAGAAAGATAGGGAGAGAGGAAGGGAAAAAGAGATGGAGAGAAAGGGACAGGGAGGAGGGATAGAAACAGGGAGGGAGGGACGGAGAGAGCGAGAGAGAGGGAGAGAGGAGGGCCGAGAGAGGGAGAGAAAGAGAGGAGAGGAGAGAGAGAAGAGAGGGAAAGGAGGGAGGAGAGAGAGGGAGAAAGAGGAGAGGGAAGGAGAGAGGAAGGGAAGGAGAGAGATGGAAAGAGTGAGGGGGAGGGAGGGAGGACAGAGATAGAGGAGGGAGGGAGGGAAAAAGAAGGAGAGAGAGGGAAAGAGTGAGTGAGATAAAGAAAAGGAGAGCGGGAGGGAAAGAGAGAGAGGGAAAGGGAGGAGGAGCGGGGAGGGAGGGAGGGAGGACAGAGAAAGAGGGGAGAAGGAGAGAGAGAGAGAGAGAGAGGAGGATGGGGAGGAGAGAGAGAGGTGAGAGAAAGGGAGAGAGGAAGAGAGGAGGAGAGGAGAGAGGAGAGGAGAGAGAGAGAGAAGGAGAGAGAAAGAGAGAGAGGGAGGTGAGAGAGAGAGAGAGAGAAGATGAGAGAAGAGAGAGAAGAGAGATGGAGAGAAGGAGAGAGGAAAAGAGGGGAGGGAAAGAGAGAGATGGCGAGAAAGGGACAGGGAGAGGGATAGAAACAGGGAGGGAGGGAGGAGAGAGCGAGAGAGAGGGAGAGAGGAGGGCCGGAGAGGAGAGAAAGAGAGGAGAGGAGAGAGAGAAGAGAGGAGGCAGGAGAGAGAGAAAGGAGAATGGGAGAGGAAGAAACAGGAAGGGAGAGAGAGGAGAGAGGAAGAGAGGGAGGGAGGAAGAGGGAGGAGGAGGGGAGAGAGGGACAGAGAGGAGGAGAGGAGAGTGAGAAGGGAGGGAGAGGAAGAGGGGAGAAGAGAGGAGGAAGAGGGGAGAGATGAGAAAGAGAAATGAGAAGGACTGAGAGGGGAGTGAGGGAGGGAGAGAGGAGGGAGGAGGAGAGGAAATCCAATGTGGTTAATTGACAGTGGAGTGTTTTATGTAACAGTGAGTCTCTGTTCTGCTCCTGTCGTCGCTCACACCAGAGGAAAAGTTACACATTACAACTTTAATTTACAACTCATGCAGCTTGTTACTGATGATCCGGTCTTGGTCTAGTCCCTGGTTTAGGTCCTGGTTTAGTCCTGGTATAGTCCTTGGTCTAGTCCCTGGTCTAGTCCTTGGTTCAGGTCCTGGTCTAGTCCCTGGTTCAGGTCTAGTCGGTCTAGTCCCTGTCCCTGTTCAGAGTCCCTGGTTCTGGTTCAGGTCCTGGTCTAGTCCCTGGTTCAGGTCCTGGTTTAGTCCCTGGTCTAGTCTCTGGTCTAGTCCCTGGTTCAGGTCCTGGTTTAGTCCCTTGTTCAGTCCCTGGTTCTGGTTCAGGTCCTGGTCTAGTCCCTGGTTCAGGTCCTGGTCTAGTCCCTGGTTCAGTCCCTTGTTCAGTCCCTGGTTCTGGTTCAGGTCCTGGTCTAGTCCCTGGTCTAGTCTCTGGTTCAGGTTCTGGTCTAGTCCCTGGTCTAGTCCTTAGTGTTTTTTCTGGTCTAGTCCCAGTTCTAGTCCCTGGTTTGGTTCTAGTTTGTTCTTGGTTTAGTCATTGGGTTTAGTCCTTGGTCTAGTCCTGGTCTAGCCCTGGTTTATTTCTAGTTTAGTCCCTGGTTTAGTCTCTGGTTTAGTCCTGGTTTAGTCCTTGATTTGGTCCATTGGATGAGACACAAGATTCTGTGAACAAAATACAAAAACTTTTATTATTAGAAAAGAAAAATAACGTTACAAAAACAAAACAAAAAACAAAAAAAACAAACAAAAAAACGGATGAGGCGTGAAAGTGGAACATGATCGTAAACAGTAAAATTAAACGACGGTTTGTATGGAAGCTGATGAGGGACAAGAGTGAATCATACGGAATATTTCTCAGACTTTTACATCGGTTCAGTGACAGTTTGTGAAAAAAAAAATGAAAATAAAAATTAAAAAAATACAGAAAGTGTCTTTGTCATCAACAGAAAACTCCAAAATCCAAAACACAGAGACAATTCAAGCCGTTGTTGTATATTTGTATTTGTTTAATCATAAATATTGTGTAATTTTATATCAGTTTTGGCTCTTGTTTACATTTTGGTTGCTAGGTAACAGTTGTCCAATCAGAAAGACTTAAAAAAATAAACAAAACTGGGCAAGATTTTGAGTAAAACCTTAAATAAAATAATGACGTTAACGATGTTTTATTGCAGTAATCGAGTAATCCAAACTGTCTCATGAACTTCAAAGCTGCACTGCCACCTGCTCGTCTCCATGGAGATGTTATTGCGTCGCCTGGAATGTTCCCTGGTGTGACTTTAAACACATACATCCAGCATTTATTCATTACAGGTGTTTCTCTTGCTTAAAAATGCAGTACCGTATTTTTCGGACTATAAGGCGCACTTAAAATCCTTACGTATTAATTCCGGTTGTGTTTACTGACCTCGAACTGATTTTATGTGGCACACGGCGCTCAAAAATCTGTTAAAATGTTTTAGTGCGACTTCGTTAAGATACAAAGATACAAAGCACTTAAAGTTCATGCAACTTGAGCCATGTGGTTTTAAGTTTAGTCTCTGTAAAACGTAAACAAATGTGCGCAAAGCTGCTTTAAACTCATTATTATTACTCCATGTATATTTGAGTCGTCCTCGTAGGAAATAAATAAACAAACTTAAATGATCCACCCACGTTCATAATTTTGGGCCAACGATTTTTTTTTGTTTCCTTTTTGTAGATAAATAAAGAATAAAGAAACATAAAGAAAAGAAATTAAAAGCTCCATTATGACTAGTCCCAGCTCTAGTCCCCGGTCTAGTCCCCGGTCTAGTCCCAGTCTGTCCCAGGTCTAGTCCCAGGTCTAGTCCCAGGTCTAGTCCCCGGTCTAGTCCCAGGTCTAGTCCCAGGTCTAGTCCCAGGTCTAGTCCCCTAGTCCCCGCTCTAGTCCCCGCTCTAGTCCCAGGTCTAGTCCCAGGTCTAGTCCCAGGTCTAGTCCCAGGTCTAGTCCCAGGTCTAGTCCCAGGTCTAGTCCCAGGTCTAGTCCCGTCTAGTCCCAGGTCTAGTCCCAGGTCTAGCCCCAGCTCTAGTCCCAGGTCTAGTCCCAGGTCTAGTCCCAGGTCTAGTCCCAGCTCTAGTCCAGGTCTAGTCCCAGTCCCAGGTCTAGTCCCTGGTCTAGTCCCTGGTCTAGTCCCTGGTCTAGTCCCAGGTCTAGTCCCCGCTCTAGTCCCAGCTCTAGTCCCAGGTCTAGTCCCAGGTCTAGTCCCTGCTAGTCCCTGGTCTAGTCCCAGGTCTAGTCCCCGCTCTAGTCCCAGCTCTAATCCCAGTCCCAGTCTCTAGTCCCAGTCTAGTCCCAGGTCTAGTCCCCTCTAGTCTAGTCCCAGTCCCAGTCTAGTCCCAGGTCTAGTCCCAGGTCTAGTCCCAGCTCTAGTCCCATCTCTAGTCCCAGCTCTAGTCCCAGGTTTAGTCCCAGGTTTAGTCCCAGGTTTAGTCCCAGGTCTAGTCCCAGGTTTAGTCCCAGCTCTAGTCCCAGGTCTAGTCCCAGTCTAGTCCCATCTAGTCCGTCTAGTCCCCTAGTCCCGGTCTAGTCCCAGTCTAGTCCAGTCTCTAGTCTAGTCTAGTCCAGCTCTAGTCCCAGCTAGTCCCAGCTCTAGTCCCAGTCTAGTCCAGCTAGTCCCAGGTCTAGTCCCTCTAGTCCCAGTCTAGTCCCTCTAGTCCCAGCTCTAGTCCCCGCTCTAGTCCCCGCTCTAGTCCCAGCTCTAGTCCCCGCTCTAGTCCCCGTCTAGTCCCGGTCTAGTCCCAGGTTAGTCCCAGGTCTAGTCCCAGCTCTAGTCCCAGCTAGTCCCAGGTCTAGTCCCGTCTAGTCCAGTCTAGTCCCGTCTAGTCCCGTCTAGTCCCGGTCTAGTCCCAGGTCTAGTCTCTAGTCCCAGTCCAGTCTAGTCCCTCTAGTCCCCGCTCTAGTCCAGTCCCAGAGTCCCCAGCTCTAGTCCCCGCTCTAGTCCCTCTAGTCCCAGCTCTAGTCCCCGCTCTAGTCCCCGCTCTAGTCCCCGCTCTAGTCCCCGCTCTAGTCCCAGGTCTAGTCCTGGATTGGATGAGACACAAGATTCTGTCAACAAAATTAAAAAACTTTTATTATTAGAAAAGAAAATAACGTTACAAAAACAAACAAAAAAACAAAAGAAATAAAGGGATGAGGCGTGAAAGTGGAACAGTAAAATTAAACGACGGTGTGTGTAGAAGCTGACGAAGGAGTTTTACCTCAGTCCAGTGACAGTTTGTGGGAAAAAAACTTCGTCTGTTTGTTTTTCTTAATGCGCTTTATAATCCGGTGCACCTTAAGTATGAAAATAAACGAGAGAATTCAACATTATTGACGCTGCGCCTTGTAATTAGTCTGAAAATACAGTCACTTCTTCTGTGAATAGCGGCGCCTCTCCACAGATCTGAGCTGTAATGTAGCGTTTAGTGCTGTACCCTGTTTATCTGATGGTTTAAACGACACTGTGGAACATTCTAGAAACAGCAACAACATTTCCATGGAGACAAACAGGCGGCGAACTCTCTAATAGAAATAGAAATGTTACACTTTCTTGATTTTTGTTTAGTTTTTTTTAAATATTGGGCCCAGTCTGAGCTTCCACATTACAGCAGCAGTAGTAAAAGTAAAAGTAAAAGTAGAAGTACGAATAATATAAGTATTTGTTGATAAAATTGTGTGTGTTGCAGCATAATATATTTTGTAAACAAAGGCTTTTAACACTTCAGAATGAGAACAGAAAACACACTTTGCTTTGAAACAAACACAACAGAAAAAAGAATCTCTTAAAGACCAGGGCTCGGCGTCGACATTTTACACTTCCACAAATCCAAACTGCACCTGATTCTGAGATTGTTTAAAGAAATGGAAGTGGAAAAGGAAGTGAGCATGGGCGCGCTTCTGGCTCCATCGACTCTGGCTCCAATTCACTTTACATTAAAAAAAAAAAAAAAAGTTGCTGCTGTGAGCTTTGTCGTTTTGGTCTTAAAATGTTCGTGTTAACCCGCTCTACATGATCCCGCCGTTTTATTTCGCCATTTTGTCCGTAAATCAGTAGCCAGCCTCGATGAGCTTCATTTGACTGGAGCCGAGACACTCACTTAGTCCGTAGTTTGGCTCATTTTTATTAGTTTTTTTGCATTTTTTAGGGAATATACTGCCATATTTTTTACATATATTACAATTTTAGATGTTATATATTTGATTTATTTTCAAAATGACATGCGTGTTTGAGTAATTTAGCGATCTCGCCGCCCATATGACAACTCTCCATAAATAAACAAAAACACGATAAAAAACTGTACACTACGACTTCACAAACCTGACGTGATATGTAATAGTTTTGTTTTTTTTAACGGAATGCACGTTGATTGTGTTGTAGTATTGCTCTGAAGGGGGAGTGACTTAGATTAGAAGTCAAATACGCCCCTCTTTAAAGGCAAATTAAAAGTTATTTCTATTTATTTATGATAATGCAACAAAAACAAAGAATAAATTTTAATTCCAGTTCATTTCTCATCCTATTTTTGACGATAGGGACCACCGTCGTCGGAAATTAGTTTAAAAATTATATTTGGTCTGTAATTTATTTTGCGATATGTAAATATTTGTAAAGTTTCGGCATAAATTTACAAAAGCAAACACATAATTTTAGAATTTTTTAAACTATGTCATGAACAGGAGCGGGTTAAAATAAATTTTTTCTTCTTCTCGCTCCTTTTCGAGAAATGTGCTTTTCTGTCGTTTATAATGTTTATGTAGTATGTATACGCCGTTGCAATTAATCGGTTTTTGGATTTGCGATTTGTGCGTCAAACGATTTCCAAACTCATATAATCGTGTTGAAACGATTTAAAGCTTAACGACATTTATTTTGAGTTATTTTTTTTATATAGAGAGATACTTAAATTTTGGACACATTTATTTTTTAGTTTTACTGTGACTTATTTTATGTTCAAAGTATATATTTTTTAATTAATTTTATGTTTTATACATGGCAAAACTGCTCTAAGGTTCATATTTGTAGCCTGAATTTATTTAAAATTTGAAAGTTTTTTAAATTATCAATAACAAAGTGTTTTTTTGACAGAGAAATGCTGAATAAATGCATCGTGTCACTAAAAATAATAGTATGAATAATCGTGATATGATTTTTTCCGTAAGTATGTACATGATTATCGTTTCTCTCTTGGCACAAACTCGAAAATAAAAAAACAAAACAAAAATGAAAAATCGAATCCATGCAAACGCCAAGCCCTGAGTTCACTGCATCGTCAGAAAACTTCACATTTGAACTGAAGTATTTTAGGTTTAAACATGAGACAAAACCTGAAATAAAAACTCTTAAAACCATGAGACAGACACTTCTTTTTCTTTTACATTTCACTTTCACAAAACCCATTCTGTCTGAGAACAAGATCACGTAGAATTTTGATTATTTTTTTGTGTTTTTAGTCAATTATTTTCACTGGTTTCAACTCATTTATTGTTATTTTGATCAGTTGAATGAAAAAAGCTGCACTGTGTCACTTTTCTGATGGAGCGTCCGCCACCCTGTTCGTCTCCACGGTGACGTTATCGCTTTGCTGGAATGTTCCGGAGTACGGCATTAAGCTCATCTACCCCTCATGTTTTTGTTTTTTTAAAGTTCGTTAAGTTTAATGCCACACTACGGGAGATTCCAGGCCACGTAATGACATCGCCATGGAGACGAGCTGGCGACGGGCGCGTGACGATTTTTGCAAAGGAATTCAGCTATTTTTCCGTGTACTTTTGATGTATTTATAGAAAGTACTGCAGTAATAGTACAAGTTAGTTTCAGTGCACTTCAAGTCTTTGGCAACATAAGAACAGTTTCCAAAAAAAAAACGGAAAAAATTCAAGTATTGCTCCTTTTAAATAAGATCTGGTTTTGAATATTTTCGAACATTTTTACATTTAAACTCTTCTACGAATTTGACAAAAAAAAACATGAAAGTCTCTTTTCTGAATGCCACGTGTTAAATCTCCTGTATTCGACTGATCTGACGCCGTTTCCTCGTCGCAAACACACCTGGACTTGTGTTTTTGTTTCAAGTTTAACGCACAAAAACTGCAGATTTACGCCGAGTTCTACGTACAGGAAGTGCTCCACTGTGTTTCTAAACTCCACACGCCTTCACTAGAATCACGTGGAGAATTTCAGCTCCAGAATTATCAAACTTTGAAGCTACAGCTGTTGTTTTATCCTTGTTTAAACTTCACTTCTTCACTCCTTAGATTAAACTGTAGAGGTGTAACGGTACATTTATTCGGGACGTTCGGTTTGAAAATTCACGCAATTTTGTACCCGATTTTAAAACGTGACAATACCAATTCAAACTAAATCTGTGGAATATTTGCTCAAGTGAATAAATTCTAATCAATCCACCAAACCTCCTAAGTTCTATCCTAACGGTGTCCATAAGGAAAAAAAAAAGTTTATCTTAAATAACTTTAAAAATAATCCATTTAGGGCCACGGTGTCAATGAAAGTTAAATAGAAATGTTGCTGTTGTGCATCATTTGGTACTAAGTTCATATCTCTATCTTCATAACTTTCTAAGACATGACTATTTTATCAAGATTTTGAGTGTTTTTTCATAATTATTCAAAATGCACAAAGTCCAAAGATGAAATGAGAGACATACATAAAGTTTGTTGTTTGTGTAGTGATCACAGACTGTGTAAAAAAGTGGAGTGAGTGAGTGTGACGTCTCAGTGACGGGTACAGCTCAGGGTTGGTAAGTTTCCAGAAAGGATAAGGAAGTTATTAAAGAAAAACTGATTTTTCAGCTCAGATTTAAGGCTTCTGGAGGCACTACACTTCACAGGCTTAGTGGACCCAGTAGACATCAACAGAATTTCATGAAATTTCTCACGGAAGTTTACTTTGGCAATTGTAAAGAGTTGACACTACGTACAGATTGATTTTCAAAAAATGTTTAAAAAGTTGGGCAAATGATGCTCCCTAATGTTCAGCTACATTGAAGGTTCGGCTTTTTAATATTCACAAAGGAACTCGTCCTTGATTGGGGCAGAGTTTCCTGCAGCGCTTTATAGTTAGAGCGACCACTTCGACAACAACTGCCCCCCCGACTTGACTACGTCCCTCCAAACCACGTGACTCCTCAAAAAACTACAGTTGTTGCACCGCGGTCCTCACTTTCACCTTCAACAAGTTGTTTTTTTTAGCCAAAAATATGAAGATTGAGTAAAACGTCATGTCAGAATTTATGTTTTATAATATTTCATTCATTTGTTGCTTATTGAGAATTTAATTTAATTTATTAGTATTACCAAGCAGCACTTTGCATTTATTTTATTTTCCCGTTTGTATAATGTTAAAACAAATGTTGGTTTAATAAACACAAATAGACAAATGGTTTTGCATTTTGTTCTCAAACTGTACCGAAAATGAACCGAACTGTGACCTGTGTACCGTTATACCCTTATTTTTTTAAAACTTCTTCACTCTTTATATTATATTGTAGACTTTCTGAGGTGATCTAAACTGAAAGAAGATTAAACGTTTAAAGGTTATGTTTTAAAAAAGGCAACAACTCAAGCTCATCCTGTTGTACTGTGGAGTAAATCAGTTTAATTGTGGTTCAAAATGACCTGTTCACTTGAAAACTACCACTTCTTTTTTGAGCTGTGCAGATGTATTCAGACTAAAGAGTGACTCAAACGTGTGTGAATGAAACAAAACACAAGTCCAGGTCTGTTTCTGAGGAGGTAACGTCATTAAAACAGGACTTTAAAGCTCACAGGAGTTGGTTTAGTGTAACACAGGAGCTTTAATGATTCCGTCCCTGTTCAGAGTGAAAGTGTCTGCAGAGTCGGACTCCCACAGCACCACAAACATGTAAAATGAACTTTAAATACGGCAGCATCTCACAGAGGCACTGCTGCTCCACTGCAAAAACAACATCTGTAATCATCAAGTTAAAACACGTCGCGTTAAAATAGTTTGTTTTTAAATAGGCCCGTCACTGAGGCTGTGCAACCAATCGAATTTTGATCTCAGTTAGAGTCTCAAACGATCTCTAAACTCACATAATCGAGTTGAAACGGTTTAGGACGCACTCACACTGGGACTTCAGAACCGTTCCCAAGCACGGATCGCGACGGATTAAAAAGTTTTGCAGCTGTTTTCTATCGTTAAACTCACGGAAAACACAAAACTCCACGGCAAAACGGTTCTAAAGTCCAAGTGTGACTGCGTCCTAAAGCTTAACAAACTTAATTAGGGATATTTTTAAAACATAAATAAGTATATATATTCATTTTTTTTTAAATACAGAGATTGTAGAACAGCTGGATATATAGTTTATTTTTGTTTTTCTTTGCCTTATTTAATGTTCAAAGTTTATTTTTGATTCATTTTATGTTTTATACGTCGCAAAACTGCTCTAAGGTTCATATTTGTAGCCTAGATTTATTTTAAATTTGAAAGTTTTACGTAAATTATCAATAAAAAAGTGTTTTTTTTAGAGAGAAATGCATCGTGTAACTAAAAAATAATCGTTTGAATAGTCGTGATTTCAATATTGACCAAAAATAATCGTTATAATGATATTTTTTTTCCATAATCAAGCAGCCGTACGTCACGATAATTGTTCAATATCCATCTTATTCTAGAAGGTGCTTGTGGACATCGGCGTCATTATTCAGGTTGTGTTATTTCGTACAGAGCCAATTTTTACAGCAAATACGTTCAATGTGGACGAAAAAGCCGTTTTAAAACCTCGAGAGAATCGGTTCAGTGCGACTCTTTGGTCACGTGAACGTTGAACATTTTACACAAAAGAACCGACTTTACGTCAGACTTAATTTAAGATGCAAAACGTTTCACAAAATTCTCCAGTGACACGAAAGAGATTCCAATTTAACCGGAAGTGCCGCCGCAAAAAAAGCGACAAAAGTGGGCGGGGTTCAATAAAGTAAATCCAGGGTTTCCACTCTTTTTCACTGACAAATTTTCTAAACTTTTACATGTGTAGAATTGATCAGACTTTTAGGACAAAAATCTGAAACGTGAACTCTTTCCACTCACTTTATGGTTTGGGATTTTATTTTTTTAACATTCAGAATCCTGTCAGTGCATTTATTGTCGTCTCTTTTAAGCACAAAAGGCACAGGCGTTCGGAAATAATCAGAATAAAGTCATGAGAACTTAACAAAACGCTGGAGTTGCGGGAAATATATACTAAAATCTCGTGACTTTTCCAGGATTTCCATAACCGTGGGAACCCTTTGAATATTTGCTTCATTATTAGGGAAGTTGTACATATGAGGATTGTTTTTTTTATTTTATTATTGAACAGCGACCGTGCTCTCGTTCAATCCTAAATCTCAAATCTCTCACGTCTTTTTTTCCTCAACTCGTTTCTTGCGACGCTGTTCACTGTTTGCAACTAAAAGTAAACCAATAACTTTGAAAGACTTTTTTGGAACAATTTTGGAACTTTTCTGAGTCGGTTTAATCTCTTTTTTGGCCCGTTTTGCCCGAGGAAAAGACGCTGCTTCATAATTCTGCGAACTTTAATATAGAGAATCGATCTCTTTAGACAAATAAACATCACCGAATCTGCTTAAATCCAATAAAAATTAAAGTTTATACAGCCTGGCGTTGGAGAATATGCAGAAAAATCATGATAGAGTCGAAATACCCACTTTTTCTTTGTAGTAACTGGACATTTTTGGATATTTTTTCTGTAAAATGTCAAAATTTGAGCTGAAAATGGTTGAAATATGAACTTCTACAGTCATAAAAGTGATTGGTTTTGCTGTTTACTTATTACAGCTCATGGTTTTTTTTTTAAGTTTTTTGAGGATAACTCTGCTTTATTTTAAGGATTTCTTTCAATATTACCTTCAAAATGTTTTCTTGTGACAGGCCTAGTTTTCATTTTTTATTCTTTATGTGTAAGTGAAAGAGAAACAATTGATCATTTTTGACATTTTGCTGTAATAATACCACCGTTTTCGTTTGCGTTTTCGAGTCTGTTTAGTCGACATAACAATTACAAATCACAAAGTAAGACTACGATTAATAAAATACTGTCTAAAAATAAGGGTCGCAGTGATAAATCTGCCCTCGTACAGATGTGTTTTTGCAGTGTAGGACTGACTTGTGTATAAAAACATCTAAGAGCATAAACACGAGTGAGCTTCTGGTTTTTTTGGCGTGTGAGGTTTGAAATTACAAAGCTCCGTTCTCCTTGAGGCTGAGGGAGGGGCTCTTCTCGCTCAGGGCCAGGCTGTAGGTGGGGGGGCAGTGGGAGGGCATCTGGAGCTCCGGAGACGGCCGACACAGAGACTGGAAACGCTGGGGAAGAGAGAGAAGAGAGAAGAGGAGAGAAGAGAAGAGAAAGAGAGAGAAGAGAGAAAGAAAGAGAGAAAAGAGAAGAAGAGAAGAAAGAGAGAAAGAGAGAGAAGAGAAAAGAGAGAAAGAGAAGAGAAGAGAAGAGAGAAGAGAAGAGAGAGAAAGAGAAGAGAAAGAGAGAAAGAGAGAAAGAGAGGAGAAAGAGAGAGAAGAGAAGAGAGAAAAGAGGAGAGAAAAGAGAAGAAGAGAAAAGAGAAGAGAAGAGAAGAGAGAAGAGAGAAGAAAAGAGAAGAGAGGAGAAAGAGAAAGAGAGAAGAGAAAGAGAGAGAAGAGAAGAGAAGAGAAGAAGAGAAGAGAGAAGAGAGAGAGAGAAAGAGAGAAGAGAAAAGAGAGAAGAGAAAAGAGAGAGAGAAAGAGAGAAGAGAGAAGAGAGAAAAGAGAAAGAGAGAAGAGAGAGAGAAGAAGAGAAAGAGAAAAGAGAGAAGAGAAGAAAAGAGAAGAGAAGAGAGAAAGAGAAAAGAGAAAGAGAAGAGAGAAGAGAAAAGAGAAAGAGAAAGAGAGAGAGAAAAGAGAAGAGAAAAGAGGTAAAGAGAAAAAAGAGAAAAGAGAAGAAAAGAGAGAACTTGTAATTATTGATAAGCACTACAGAAAATTAACATTATTTTAATAAAAAATAGAATTAAAATATTTTAGTAGAAAATCAGCCGAGGGCCAGATTAAAGGTCTTGGAGGGCCGGATCCTGCCCCCGGGCCGCATGTTTGACACCTGTGCTTTAGACAATATACTGTGATTTTCCACGTTAAATAGTCGAGCTTTCTTTTCTACTCCCGTAAGTCCTTATATGTGTGTAAGTCCCTCAGTGGTCCAGGTAAAACAGTCAGAGTTTTTCAGTACAGATACCAGTTTTTCGTGTGTGATTTGAGTGATTTTAGATACTTTTGTGAGTCCCTCGTCTCATGACTTCGGTTCTCGTGGTTGTTGTTTCGGAGCTGTTACCTGCGTGAGGGACCCGGGTGACGTGAGCAGAGCGTACAGGGCCCACAGCGGCAGCAGCGACACCGACGAGAAGGTGAGGATCCAGCCCAGAGCCGAGGCCCAGGGGGGAGCCACCAGACCCTTCCCCAGGACCAGAGGACTCCAGCGGGCCAACGAGAACAGGAACGTGGCCTGGAGGGAAGGGAACACAACACACACACACACACACACACACACAAACACACACACACACACACAAACACACACACACACACACAACACACACACACACACACACACACACACACACACACACACACACACACACACACACACACAACACACACACACACACACACACACACACACACACACACACACACACACACACACACACACACACACAACACACACACATAAACACACACACAAACACACACATAAACACACACACACACACACACACACACACACACACACACACACACACACACACACACACACACACACACACACAACACACACACAAACACACACACACACACACACACACACACACACACACACAACACACACACACACACACACACACACACACACACACACACACACACACACACACACACACACACACACACACACACACACACACACACACACACACACACACACACACACACACACACACACACACACACACACACACACACACACACACACACACACACACACAAACACACACACACACAGACACACACACACACACACACACACACACACACACACACACAACACACAAACACACACACATAAACACACACACAAACACAATACACACACACAACACACACAAACACACACAAAGACAACACACACACACAACTGTATTGTTACTCTGTACACGAGAGGAGGACTGGTAGTAGTAATTACGACTAATACACATGGGTGGTAGTAGCTGTGGTTGAAGTAGTAGCAGCAGCAGGAGTAGTAGTAGTCGTAGTAGTAGCAAGTAGTGTTAATAGAAACTGAAGTAGTAGTGAAGGAGGAGTAGTAGTTATTAGGACAAGCAGAAGTTCTTAGTAATAGTAAGTAGTAGTTAGTAGTAGTAAAAGGTATGGGTGGTAGTAGTATAGTTGGGGTGGTAGTAGTGGTTGTGGTTGAAGTAGTAGTAGTGGTAGTAGTTTGTAGTAGGTGTTAATAGTAATTGAAGTAGTCTTGGGAATTGTAGTAGTTTTTAGGACTAACAGTAATAGAAGCAGTAGTCTTAGTAGTAGTAGTAAGTAGTAGTTATTAGTACTAAAAGGTATAGGTGACAGTAGTATAGTTGGTGTGGTAGTAGTAGCAGCAGCAGGAGTAGTAGTAGTCGTAGTAGTAGCAGCAAGTAGTGTTAATAGAAACTGAAGTAGTCTGAAGTAGTAGTGAAGGAGGAGTAGTAGTTATTAGGACAAGCAGAAGTACATAGTAGTTATTAGTACTAAAAGGTAAGGGTGAGTAGTATAGTTGGGGAGGGAGCTTTGGTTGAAGTAGTAGTAGTAGCAGGAGTACTAGTGGTAGTCATTTCTAGTAGTTTTAATAGTAACTGAAGTAGTCTTAGGAGTAGTGGTTATTAGGTCTAACAGGGAAGGGTAGTAGTAGTAGTAGTAGTAGTGATGGTGTTAATAGCAGGTAATGGTAGTAGTGGTAGTAGTAGTGGTAGTTGGGGGTAGTAGTAGTTTTATTTGTTTGAGCAAAATCAGCAACAAGTTGACTGAAGTAGTAGTTATTAGTAAGTTGGGGAGGTAGCGATAGTTGTAGTAGTAGGAAGTGGTGGTAAGAGTCGTAGTACTCTCAGTAGTAGTTGTGGTAAGTAGTACCAGTAATAGCAGTAGTACTGAAGCTGATGTAGTACATACGGTTAGTGGTAGTTTCAATACTAAATGATAAGTAGCAGTAGTGAGGCTGTAGTTGAAGTAATTAGCAGTACTAATACTAATACTAATACTAATAGGAAAGGATGATAGTATAGTTGGTTGTAGTACTAGTAGTAAGTAGTAGTAGTGGTAGTAAGTAAGTAAGTAATGCTTGTTGTAGTAATTAGTTGTAGTAGTAGTAGAATATTTATAGTACTCCCAAAGTTGTGGTTGTAAACTTTTGTAGTATTTGACTTTTAAAATATAAATTAGTACTGATATTTTGGTTGTAACAGTAGTCTGAAATATAGTACTACCTATGTTTGGGTTGTAGTAGCGCTTGTAGTATTAGCAGTACTTTTATGCTCAAATCTACATTCCAAAGTACAAGATTCTTAATGTGACAATAGTAGTAGTAGTAGTAGTAGTAGTAGTAGTAGTAGTAGTCTTAGTCCTTATAATATTTATTCTACTTAAATATAACTTAACAAAAAGCAGTTTAATATGTGGATGTTAATTATTTTTTCAAACAGTATTTGATTAAATATTTATAATTCAGTCCTTTACTGCGTATATAAACGTGCAGTAGAAGTACTCTGCTCAGACTCACGGTGCACACGGCCGGAGTGAAGTACTTCCAGCACAGGTCGAATATCCTCATCGGACTGTAGCCGATCATGTCTTTAATGTTGCCACGGAAACGCTGGGCTCCTGAAACACAGAGGTCAAAGGTCACAAAGGAAACTGTAGTAGAAGTGAAACTGTAGAAGTTTGTAGTAGAAGTACAGAACAAAACATGACAAATACTACTACTACTGCCAGGTGAGGATCTTGTACCAGGAAGAACCAGGTTTGAGCCTATAGTACTATTACTACTACTGCTACTACTACAACTACAGTTTGAGGAGTATTAGTTACTGCAGTGGTGGTAGTAAGTAGAAGTATATATTTACTTGGTGTAGTAATTCTAGTATTACTATAGTATAGTTATGGGAGTAGTAGTAGTAAAAGTTGCTGCTGTGGTATTTTACTACATGTAGTTCTAGTATAGTATAGTAGTAGTAGTAGTATTAAATGTTGTTGTAGTGGTATTTAGGTAGTACTAGTATTAGTATCCCAGTAGCAGTAATAGTAGTAGTAGTAAACAGTAGTGGTATTTAAAAGTAGTAGTAAAAGTTGTTGTAGTGGTATTTAGGTAGTACTAGCTGCAGTAGTTATGGGAGTAGTATTCGTAGTAGTAAAAGTTGTTGCATTGGTGTTTACTAGTTGTAGTATTAATATAGTATACTTATAGGAACAGCAGTAGTAGTAAATGTTGCAGTGGTGTTGAGATGGTTCTAGTATTAGTATAGTTATGGGAGTACTAGCTTTTTAGTAGTAGTACTAGTAGTAAAAGTTGTAGTTCTAGTATAGTACAGTATAATTATGGTATAGTAGTAGTAGTAGTAAAGATGTGGTTGAAGTAGTATTTACGGTTAGTAGTAGTTTCAGTAGTAAATTGTAAGTAGTAGTAGTAGTAGTAGTGAAGCTGTGGTTGAAGTAGTATTTACGGTTAGTAGTAGTTTCAGTAGTAAATTGTAAGTAGTAGTAGTAGTAGTAGTGAAGCTGTGGTTGAAGTAGTATTTACGGTTAGTAGTAGTTTCAGTAGTAAATTGTAAGTAGTAGTAGTAGTAGTAGTAGTAGTAGTGAAGCTGTGGTTGAAGTAGTATTTACGGTTAGTAGTAGTTTCAGTAGTAAATTGTAAGTAGTAGTAGTAGTAGTAGTAGTGAAGCTGTGGTTGAAGTAGTATTTACGGTTAGTAGTAGTTTCAGTAGTAAATTGTAAGTAGTAGTAGTAGTAGTAGTAGTAGTAGTAGTTAAAGATGTGGTTGAAGTAGTATTTACGGTTAGTAGTAGTTTCAGTAGTAAATTGTAAGTAGTAGTAGTAGTAGTGAAGCTGTGGTTGAAGTAGTATTTACGGTTAGTAGTAGTTTCAGTAGTAAATTGTAAGTAGTAGTAGTAGTAGTAGTAGTAGTAGTAGTGGTGAAGCTGAGGTTGTAGTAGTAGTTATTAGTACTAAAAGGAAAGCGTGGTAGTAGTATAGTTGAAGTAGTAGTCGTGGTACTAGTAGTAAAAGTTATTGAATTGGTATTTAGTAGTTCTAGTAGTACAGTATAGTTATGGTAGTAGTAGTAGTAGTAGTAGTAGTAGTAGTAGTAGTAGTAGTAGTAGTAGTAGTAGTAGTAGTAGTAGTAGTACACATCACTGCTTTCACTAAATGTTCACTAAAACATTTCATTAAGATTTGACTAAAAACTTTGCAACCGTAATGTAAAAAAGGACCAAAACGTGTCTAAATTACACAATAGTTTTGATTAAATGAGAACAGCTTTATTTAGTTAAATTAAGGTTTAAATAGTCAGAAAATTCACTTCTTTGTGCGTAAATTGTCTGTATTTTGGATATTTTCTCTGTTGATGACATAGAAAGACAGATTTTGTTTTCAACTCGCCAAAATACGACAGACTAATTCCCCGAAAGCAAAAAAAAAAAAAATCACATTGCTCCCGTCACGTTCTTCTGTGCGGACTACGTTACCCAGAGCGCAACAGTGGGGTTTTGTTCGGCTTTAACGGCGTGTCAAGTCTAGCGTCGTAAAAAGTGTAACGCGGCCGTCGGCGAGCGTCCCCCGCGGCGCCATAAAGCGGCTTCCTCCAGATTTACGCGCTCCAGCCAGAAACGGTTACGGCCTCAGCTGACTTCCACAGGGTTTCCACGTCTAATTAACCCCAGAAATTAGATTAGAGCGTAAAAAAAAACAAAAAAAACTGCACCTTATTAGGCTCTGGTATTTCCTCACACCAATTTAGCTCATTTACGTGAACGCCGAGTTTAAATCATTAATAATTTGGTCCATACAGAGAGGCTGTTTAAAGGGGCATTGTGTAACTTTTCTGGTGGAGGGTTTAACTACTGCTTGTTTCTTTAGACTTAGACAAATTTTACTGATCCAGAAGGGAAATGATTTGGACACAGGAGCTCACACATCACAATATTTTATAAAAACAAAGATAAAAAAAAAGAAATTGTTACAAATTTGATTAAAAATAAGTAGCAAAAAAAGCAAGAGATGCGAAAAAATAAGGCGTAATTATATATATATAGATAGATAAAATTTTTAAAAAGTAATTTAAAAAAAAATCCCCAGCTATTTTCACTGACAAAATTTCAAAAGTTTTCCATGATTCTTGACTTAAGTTTGCGTGAAAAAGATACTAAAATTCCATACCTTTTCCAGGATTTCCATGACTGTGGGAACTCTGAATAAGGCATAATTATATATATTTTTAAAAAGATATATACAAGTAAAGATAAAATTTTTAAAAAGTAATAAAAAAAAAAATCCCCAGCTATTTTCACTGACAAAATTTAAAAAGTTTTCCATGATTTTTGACATAAGTTTGCGTGAAAAAGATACTAAAATTCCATACCTTTTCCAGGATTTCCATGACTCTGGGAACTCTGAATAAGGCATAATTATATATATTTTAAAAAAGATATGTACAAGTAAAGATAAAATTTTTAAAAAGTAATTAAAACGAAAAAAGTCCTCAGTTATATCCAAGAAATCGTAAGGGGTTTTTGGAATTTTCTGCAGCAACAACAAGTGACAAAGCCAACTACGCTGACAACCAGAATTTTTTTTAAGGTGTTTTAGAGCAATAATAATTCACACAACGTAAGACAGTTTTACGGCACACTGTGGAACATTCCGGACAAAGCCGTAACATCTCCAGACAATAAAGTGGTGAACCCTCTACCAGAAAAGTTCCACAGTACACAAGGTTTTCTAATTCTGACTTGGTTTCGTGGATAATATCTGTAGTTAATATTTATCTTAGTTTTACATCAGTTAAAGTGAAAGTTTGTGGAAAAAAAATAAAGTTTGAAGCGGAAATAGAAATCCAAAAACACAGGAAGTAGTGCTGAGTTGTAAAACAGAGTCCCTCTGTGTCATCAAAACAGAAAACTTCAAAACAAAGAGAATTTACGCACGAGCAAGGACTTTTTCTGACACTTTAAACCTTCATTTCTCTAAAATAAGGTGTAGTTACTCATTTGTATTTGTCTAATCATTACTATTGTTGGTCTTTGTTTGCGTTTCGGTTGCTAGGTAAGTGACAAAGTATAAATATGTAAGTAATAGTACAACTAGTGCTGCCATGCGATTAAAAAAATTGAGAGATTAATTAATTATGATCTGTAATTAATTAATCTAATTAATCTAATTTTAATCTCACCGAAAAATTGCTGAGAAAAGCTTCAATTTGAGGTATTTTCATTTAAATTCATTATTACATTATCGTGGCAGATCAAAAGACTCATATAGATTAAAAAAAGTGACTTTATAAAGTCATTTATTGTTTAACAAATCTCTCCAAATTGGCTGTTGAGCCCAAGTCTCCATGAATAAGAAACTGTTTGTTGTAAAGTAGCAAAGACGAGGAAATCTGAACATAATAACTTTTGTCGACTTAAAGACAATAAAAAGTCCAGTCTTTCCTTAACCATATTAAAAATATTATTGATAGAGAAATGCTTTATATATGAGATCACTGGTTTTAGTTCTGGTTTAGACCTGGTTTAGTCCTAGTTTAGTCCTGGAATGGATTAATCCTGTTTTAGTCCTGGTGTTAGTCCTGGTTTAGTTCTGGTTTTAGTTCTGGTTTTAGTTTTGGTTTTAGTTCTGGTTTAGTCCTGGTTTAGTCCTGGTTTAGTCCTGGTTTAGTCCTGGTTTAGTCCTGGTTTTAGTTTAGGGGGGTGTGTCTATCATCCTTCCTCTACTCTACTACCTTCCTACCTCCGCTTTCCTACTTCCTACCTTCCTACCCCCTCTACACTCTATCCTCCCTCTACTCTTGCTCGATACCTCCTCGAGCCTACCTCTACGCTTCCTACCTCCTTCTACTCTTCCTTCCTCCTTCCTCCGTCCTACCTCTGTTCTACTTCCTTCTTACCTCCTACCTCCTTCCTCTACTGTACCTCCCTCCTTCCTACCCTCCTCCTCTAACCCAGTTTCCTGCCTCCTCTCTCTCCTCTTGCGTGTGGTACCGACCGTAGACCCATCCGATGGCCACGGACTGACAGATGGAGAGGAGCAGCAGACTGGCCCCGCTGCACGAGAAATGGTCATAGATCTGGAACACGTACAGTCCTCCCTGTGACGAGGAAACACGAGAGACACAATCATCACCTTCTACAACAAAACCAATACTTGTTTCTACATTTGTAATAAAAACACTTTCAATTTTCAAATGCGTTTCGTCTTAAAATTTGAAGTCCGACTGGCTAAGAATCAGGAGGTGCGCTGTTGGCATGTCAGGAAAGGGGGGCGTGTCTTACCGGCGTGACCATGACGAGGCCGATGAGCAGACACACCACACACACGCCCAGCAGAAGCAGCTCTCTGCGGTGCCCCCTGCGGATCTGGTGAGGGTACAGGTCTGTCACCGACGTCATCAGGGCCTCCAGACTCACAAACTGAAGAGGAGAGAGAGAAGTTTAGACCGGATGCCCTGCCAGACGAAGCGATACTGTGACGTGGATTGACCGAAGAAGAAGAAGAACCATCAACTGCTTTGTTTACCACATTTCAATCCCAATAAAAAGATATTTAAATCTTGAAGTTTGTTGCGTTTCAATTCGAGCAGATTAATTACAAGAGCCTCGTCACAACTTTAAACGAGTGTTGATTTGATCCAATACCGATACCAGTACCGATACCATAGTGTAAAGAAGTACACTTAGGATACTTCATTTTGTAAAATAAAATAAATCTTCTCAAAGGCTATTTTTTATAAGAAATGCAAGAATAAATACGTTTTAGACGACTAAAATATTCAGGGTTCACACTCTTTTTCACTGACAAAATTTCAAAACTTCTCCGTGACTTTTTCCTCCGCTCAATTTCATTTCTCTTCAGCGACTAGATCAGGAATCGGAATACACTAGAAGGTTTGCAAAAACCCCGGAAGTGCGAATTCGGGCACCAGCCAGTCAGCGAAGAGCCATGTATTCCGTGTTGGCGACGATTCCCGAGATCGAGGATTTAAAGTTGGAACAAAGGGAATGTTTGGTGAATTTTATCAAAACGGAAAGACGTTATTTTTCCTATGGGATACGGTGCTTTACATATGTCATGACCAAACAGCAGCGACTGGTTAAATAAAAAAAAGTACCCGCCTACTGTCGAGCGAACAAATCCTAATGCTGTGAGGTCAGACGGTTTCCACGAAGTGAAACCCGCTCATGAATCAGGCAAGACTTTTTCATGACCTAAAGTGAATTTTCCATGACTTTACAGCACCTGCATGTGTAGAATTAATCAGCCTTTTAGGGCTAAATATGAAATGATAACCCTTTCCACTCGGGATTATAGTTTTTTAACATTCAGAATCCTGTCAGTGCACTTACTGTCGTCTGTTTTAAACAAAAGACGCAGATGTTCAGAAATAATCATAATAGTCTAATGAGAACTTAAAGATTGTATGGAGGATTTTTTGTTTGTTTCAAATTGTCAATGAAAGTTTAAAATACCATTACAGAGACGCAGCAGCTTTGTAATTATGATGACCAAAAAAAAAAAGAAAAGAAAATCGATTAACTGTGGACGTGTTGAGGCCAGATAAACATCAGCCAATAGAAAACGAGGCTGCCTCATTTTCTATTGGCTGTTAGAGGCTTTTTCTAATCGTGGCTCTCTCGCAGTTTCGCACAAAGTTTGTCACGACGTTGGACGAGAATCGACGACCAGTTCGCCGCAAAACAAAGTCGGTTTTTGAGGTCGCTGAAAGACGAAGAGAAGGAGAAAAGGAGCGAAGACGAACTGAGGTGATTCTTGGAGATTCCTTCCAGCGATGGCGCGACTGAAGCGGACGAAGCGTCTAAAAACTGAGGTGTCGGTCTCTAAATTATTTCTAGAGGGACCTGTGGAGGAGGAAGGTGGTGTCAAGGACTGTCGCTGGATTTCTCTTTCCTTAAAAAAAAAATCCTCTATACAACCTTTAACAGATGTATGAAAGAGATACTAAAATTCCATGACTTTTCCAGGATTTCCATGACCGCGGGAACTGTGAATATTAGTGAAATGCCTAATGAACTTTACCATAGGTTGTGCTGATTTACCACAGTGCCGATAAAACCGACAGTGAGGCCTGTAAAAAGACACACGGATAATGATGTAGAGGAAACAAATGAAACACAAACGTCTTTTCTGTTATTATTAGAATGTTTAAAGTGTCTGCAGAGTCTCCACAGTCTGTACTTAATTAGCCACCGAGATAAACTGCAGCCGCTCACGTTTAC